AAATATCTCAAAGATAGGCAGTTTAAGTAGCTAAACACTGACTCTTTGCTCATCTTTGAGATGTCTTCTCTCTGCTGACAGGTCAGCTTATGCAGTGACTACAGATAACTCTCCATAGAGAAGTTTCTAGTGCTATAGAACCATTAGGGAACCTCAAACTTTCCAAATGGACAAACACTTTATGGTGAAGATAGGTTTTAAGTTTGAAATTTATGCTTTGAATTTAGCTCAGTGAAGCAAATCCTTGGTTTCCTGCCTGTTTAGATTAACATTCTGCTTTCCACTGCTTTCATTGTTGTTCTTACGTGTATTGTTCCAGATGACAGAACATGAAATCTGTTCAATGAACCCCCAGGACTGTTTGCCACTTCCTTAGCTGTTTGCTAGTGTACTGGAATGGGCTTTTACACATTCTGACTGACTTTACTGATGGAGTGCTCTGCTCAGGTTCTTTGCTGAGGTTTTATTAGTCATTAAGTTTGTGGAACCCACAAGTCAGTGTTCTAGCTGAGCTCGAGATGTGTCTGTGGCTTTCTGCATCTTTGCTGTGTGTGTCTAGTGCATTGCTAATATTTCAGCAATTGTAAAATATGAATAAGCCTGAAAATTCTAGTCATGTTTATGACATGGGTTTTTTATTATTTCATATATTCTCTACTGAAGACTAATTTTTAATTTTCACCAAAATCCTGAAAAAGTAAGTGAAATTATCTTTGCTTTACAGGTGAAAAACATGGTATGTAAATTATTGAAATAGTTTGCCTTTTGAGGTAGTGAGATAATTAAGACATCTGATTGACAAGGCTCACTGACCTGGTGTGTAGTAACCTTCAATAAATGGAGGTTTTATTACTGTTATTATTTGTACTTATGATAGAGCCTCAACCGAGCTTCAATATAGCTGTAGGCTGTTCATCTGAGTCCAATGTCTTGTGAGATTTTAGGTACCTTTAGAGAATCAAATGGTGTGAACAGTAGTTTTATTTCTTCTCTTTCTGTAGCAGAGTTCTTAATTATTGCCATGAAGCCAGATGTTAGTGACCTTCTGGAATATAATCCCTTTCCTATTGCTGGCTTCCACTTACAAAGCCAACCTTTGGCTATTAGGGCTGCTGCTGTGCTTAGTCTATTAGGCTGATTACTGAATAGACTGTGGCCATTGTGTGACTCAGCACAGCTTTCCTGTCCTGGCTGCTGACTCAGTGGATCAGCAGGCTGGTTGTGTGGCTTTGGTCTGTGGTGGAGAAGCTTATCTGGAAAGCCGGAGAAAACCAAACAAGATGCCAATGGAAATGGGTTGCAGGCTCTAACATCAGTGTGGTGTCTGGTGTCAGGTTTAAGGGCTGCATGGCCAGAGAGCTATTGTATTGTAGGGCTGTTTAGCAATAGGGTGGTGTCACATTCCAGATAAAACACAAGTTTACATTTTGTGCTGAGACCGTTTTTATCAGAGGGTGCTGTGTTTTGCAAGTACTCACATGAGAACAAGATGCCTAGTGAACACAATGAAACTGATGAATTCCGCAGGGACCCACAGAGAGATGCCATTCTGTGTCAATAAAGCACTCTTTGTTCCAGAGACATTCCTCTCATTTTGGACAGGAATGTTTCAACCCAAAAACAGACAAAGCAGGTCTTGCTCTGCTGGTTCTTGCTAATTGGGGACTATTGCTTAGTGCGTGTGATAACTGTTTCTTGTAGGGAAAAAGAGAGGTGTGTTTGTTTTTCTGATTTACTTAACAGAAACTTTGGTGACAGCACTGGGGCAGCAGGGTGACTCACGATGGACTTTCAGCTTCAGAACCTCATGTTTCCCGGGTGCTATCCAGAATCTCGGGCCTTAGTCACATGATTATGTGTAAATTTGCAGTTAGGATGTTGTGGTCTCTTTGTGCCTCTGCTACCCTGCCTGTCAGACTTCCCAGGTTACAAAGTAATGTTATACTTGCCCTGGACAATCTTGGAATCTGGCTAATGGAATGTTCAGTCCTGGATAAATTTATTATGGCCTTAGTTCTTAATTGTAGTGTGAGTCACCTGGAAAATCAATTTCGGAAGTGAGGGATTATGTAATACCAGCAATTGTATGAGATTAGTGAATACTTCACCACTTGTAGTTGTTAGTGCACTAATAAAGTCTTGTTTTACAGTCCCCTAGAAGCCTCCTCCTGCTCCTGTTGTTTCTGAGTGAGGCTGTGCACCAAGAGTGATGATGAAGACTCAGGGCAGAAACAGGGGTCACTCAGTCTGAGAGGAGCTGGTGCCAGCATCACGTGGGCAGGGATGAAACTGTAGTCCTGCTAACAGAGGATGACCAGAACCACGGAATTACGAAAAGCATCCCCAGCTTAATAATTGTTTCAAAATAGAAATATTTCTCCTGATTTTTATAATAAATTATTTGAATTTGTTGTGTTTTGCATTTGATGCCCCCTCCTTCCTTTGCCTCTGTCATCCAGCTTAATAATTGTTTGAAAATAGAAATATTTCTCCTGATTTTTATAATAAATTATTTAAATTTGTTGTGTTTTGCATTTGATGCCCCCTCCTTCCTTTGCCTCTGTCATCCTTTAGGCTGCAGATTGAATCTAGGCTCATCTACTTGGGAGGAAAGAAAGAAAGACCTCCATTACCCAGCCCCACTCCCAGCTCTAAGAATTATTTTGTAACTCTCTTTTATACCCATTGTACAGATTTCAAAGTTAATTGCATCAGCTTCAGGGAGTCTGAGAAACTGTAAGGGATATGCTTTTCTGATTGCCAAGCACATTGTGCAAGCAAATGTCATGTATAGTTTAGTAAATCAAGAAACCAGTGGTTCTATTAACGTCCCTTTCTTACTGATCATGTCTTTAGTGAACTCCTTGCTCAGGGCCTGAGGTGTCCTGTGATTGAAGGTCTTGGTTGATTTATTCATGGTGAAAGCAGGTAGATAGAGTGGATACTAAAATATTTAATATCTTGCCTTTTGGAGTTTATTTCTGTCCTTTTTTCAGTTGTTTTTTAAACAAAATCAGAGACATCTATGCTGTATATCACATATCATAAATCAGCTCACAGTCACCTTCTGTCTTACTCAAAGCCAGAGGAGTTGTTCTTAAAGAGGTATTGTTTATAGATTGTGTTTAAAACTATATTCAAAAGGTAGTTGCCATTCCTTCTACATTGACTGATGCAATACATGATATTTGCAAGCCAGATATATGTCATTCTGTTAGATGTTTGGTAGACCACAAAACACAAGCAGACAAAAGTCCTTGCTCTCTGAGTGCTAACATTTTAGTGTGGAAGAAAGGAAAAATATAATAAATAAGAGGTCAGACAGTGATGCGTGTGATGGGAAAGAAATAGATTAGCTAATAGGACTAGTGGAGTATTCTTAGATCTTCTCCTCTAGACTAATCATGACCAGTCTTACGCATTTTGTTTTCTCCCCTGGCAGGCAAACCAGTCTGCTTTGTCTTAAGAGGTCTCTTGGGAAGAGATCTGAGGCAGGGAGAAGTGTGAGTTTCAGCTCCTTTCTTCAGCAGGTACTTTGGACTCATGACTGCCCTCTTCAGGTTCTAGCACTTTTCTCAAAGCATCCTTCTTAGTGTAATTTTCTTCTTCTAGTTTCAACTGTCTTCCTTTCATCATGTCCCTTCAAGCCTGATGTGGGCAATAGCTCTGCTATTATATCCTAAGGACAGTATTTCCTCCTCCCCTCCCTC